GTCTAACCACTCTACAACACTGCCTCCTCATAGGGATGATGAGGCTGAGGGCACACTGGTTAGGAGCAAACAGGCAGGGCCGTTTTGTCTGTGCACAGGCGCACGTGTGTGCACAAACACACCCCGAATTCTGAACTGATATAGCCTTGCTGGTGATTTTTGGAACTGAACAGCAATAAATAAAACTTCACACCTATGACGTAAATATACCTTTTCATTTAGTAATTGTTGTTCATGGGCTATATCTTTCTTACCTGTTTTTATTCATCTGTTTGGTGCCCCAGGTTGTTATTTCAGTTTGCTGTGTTTTTAATTGCAATTGATCACTTTATGCTGTAACTCTGGAGAACAATGCCATTGGACAGCTTTATATAAATATAGTAAGTAAATAAACCACTCCCAGAATATCCATAAGAAGCTACCTCTCTTTTTCTCTCCCTGCTCCTCCCTCCCCGCTAAATGCTCAGCTCAAAAATATCCTCCTCCATTTGGCTTAACCCCTTAGTGTCTCACTGAAACAAAATCGGATATGGTCTTTTCTCATGTTCATTATCCTAGTTTTGACTTTTTCCCTCCTACTGTGTTTTTGACTTTTTCCCTTCCTTCTCTCTTCCCCACCTTGCCTCACATTGCTGCTCCAGTCTAAAGTTAGATTGTAAATTCAGGACAGGGCCCAATCCTTTCCTTATGCTCTGTAAATTGCCATGCAATTTAAATTACTCTCTCTCTCAACTGGCAAGCACTTACACATCGGAACTCCCTGCCCATTGATATCGAGCAGGTGCCTTTGCCATATTATTTTCAGTGCCCGTTTAAAACTTTTTTTGTTTTGTTCCAACAAGCCTACCCAGGTGTTTTATTTTGACATAGGTAAAACACTTATGCCTGCTAAACTCGCTTAACAAAATTTCATGGCTGGATAGCCTTGCTGGAACAAAGAGTTTAGTTGGCACTGAAATCAATAGGGTAAAAACAGCAGCCCTGTTTTTCCAAAAAGTGTCACTGCTGCCAATTTAGTTAGCTAGATAGAGATCACATAAATATGACTGGTGTGTACAGTGGTACCTCGGGTTAAGTACTTACCGGTAATTCGTTCCGGAGGTCCGTTCTTAACCTGAAACTGTTCTTAACCTGAAGTACCACTTTAGCTAATGGGGCCTCCTGCTGCCGCTGCGCCATTGGAGCACGATTTCTGTTCTCATCCTGAAGCAAAGTTCTTAACCCAAGGTATTATTTCTGGGTTAGGGGAGTCTGTAACCTGAAGCGTATGTAACCCGAGGTACCACTGTACGTGTATCCAAACACATTTTTATGTAACTTGTTTTTAACATTTGTTTTTAATTGGTATTTTGAATGGACGTTTTAGACATGTATACAGCTTAGAGGGCTTTTGTTCTAGCAGGCTGGGAGTCACAAACATGGACTCACTCTGCCTAGTATGTAAGGAGCAATTAATGCACCATGGCAGTTGATATGAATGCCTCCGATCATACAGCTGTTCTCTGTATTTGTGCCTCACACAAATCCGGACAGATTCACACAAATCCGGACAAATCCGGACGACTGTGGAGATTCTCCAGAAATGTTTATAGGGAGAGAGAGAGGTCCCGTTTCCAGATTTAGCTCCAGAAAAGTTATCTATTGAGAATGCCTTTGGGAACTCATCCAAGTTTGATGCAATATTTTTGGACTGGGTCATTTGGAACGTTTGCTTATATTAGGGCCCAGTGAGAGAATATATGGAGAAGCTGGTCCTCTCCTGAGACAGAGCCATTTTTACTTGTATTTATTTTACAAATTTATAAACTGCTCTGGAGCCTGGGGCCTCCCAAGTGGTGTACAACACAATAAAAATAAAATGCAAAGAATGCAAATTCTAAAAGAAACTGAAATCCTTTCTACAATCTCTAAAAGCACTAAAACTGTTCCAGCAAATGTATGATTAATATTTAACAAATGACTGGGTGATGCCTCACGGGAAGCCTTATTAAACAAATAAGGAGGCATCATGACACTGAGTGCCTTCTGTTGCTCTATTCCAGAGGGCTGCAACTGCAACACTAAAAGCCCCATTTTTGGTACAAACCGTGTACCTCTGGAGCACACGGTATGCTCAGCCATGTCCCATCTGAGGAGTATGGTTGCTAAGCAGGGTTGTATGGGGGAGATGGAACATAAGCATGTTCCTAGATAAGATTCCCGTTGTGTTCCATTTATAGGTTTTATTGACTGAGATATGCAAATAATATATATAGGATGCCCCCTCCATCAGCTGTCACCCGGCAACAGCCACCATATCAGGAGGAGGGAAGAGAAGGGCAACTTCACAGACGCAACAAGGAGACCAGCAACTTTATCTCCACCCAGCTGGCCAGTAGAACAACACATAACTAAAAGCTTGAACCCGAGTTTACTTATTTCCTCCTCCTTGCCAATCCATTTTCCTTTTGTGTAATGTCGTTGTGATTGTAAATCTGAGGGCAGGGTCTGTTTTCTCTCTCTCTACTGATTTGTAAGCTGCTCTGTAGTGAGTTGTTGGGACGCGGGTGGCGCTGTGGGTAAAACCTCAGTGCCTAGGACTTGCCGATCGCATGGTTGGCGGTTCGAATCCCCGCGGCAGGGTGAGCTCCCGTCGTTCGGTCCCAGCTCCTGCCCACCTAGCATTTCGAAAGCACTCTTAAGTGCAAGTAGATAAATAGGGACCGCTTTATAGCGGGAAGGTAAACGGCGTTTCCGTGTGCTGCGCTGGTGCTGGCTCGCCAGTTGCAGCTTCGTCACGCTGGCCATGTGACCTGGAAGTGTCTTCGGACGGTGCCGGCTCCCGGCCTCTTGAGCGAGATGCGAGATGAGCGCACAACCCCAGAGTCGGTCACGACTGGCCCGTATGGGCAGGGGTACCTTTACCTTTAGTGAGTTGTTGCTGTTTTGCTGAGGAGCAGGATTGAAAAACCATTTCAATAAATAAAACCAGAAGACATGAATCGTTCAGAAGAACCCATAGTCCGTAGTATAAAAACTTTTCACAAACTGAAGATCACTGTACTGTCCCTTTAGTAATGCACAAAAAACCTCGCTATCTCAAAGAACTTTGTCCGCTGGCATTCACAGCTGTGTGAGAAACTTTACCACAACAAATACTTCACACAGAAGCCTTACATTTTGGGCTGCTGTTTATAAGAGTTCTTGAATGTTAGATATTGGCTACCTTGAAATGGAAGCTCAATACCATTATCTGCACTGAGAAATGAAGCTTGTTAGCACAAATGAATTGGGTTTTTTTTTTTAAAATCATGAAGCAATATATGGTGGACTAACATAAAATGTGGAGGTTCACTCATAACTTGGCTGAAATTTTGTGGAAAGCTGCAAATGGGTTCGGCGATGGGCTACCCACCAGCCATCATTCAGCTTCACTGAATTCAGCAGATAAATTCCAGATCAGTTATTTGGCAGGGATCGAAATAACAAGGTCCCCCCCCCCCACATATAGACATCTTGTGACTTTGTGCTACAATCATTTCCTCTATATCTGATGTTCAGGCGGCAAGTGCTGTTGATTATGTAGCCAAAATGCCACCACCTATGTGTCAGAAAAAAAGAACCAGCAGCAGGCTGGGGAAAACTCAAGGTTTGCAGAAATTAGTAAAGGTAAAGGGACCCCTGACCATTAGGTCCAGTCATGACCGACTCTGGGGTTGCGGCGCTCATCTTGCTTTATTGGCCGAGGGAGCCGGCATACAGCTTCCGGGTCATGTGGCCAGCATGACAAAGCTGCTTCTGGCGAACCAGAGCAGTGCACGGAAACGCCATTTACCTTCCCACCGGAGTGGTACCTATTTATCTACTTGCACTATAACGTGCTTTCGAACTGCTAGGTTGCCAGGAGCAGGGACCGAGCAACGGGCGCTCACCCCGTCGCGGGGATTCGAACCGCCGACCTTCTGATCGGCAAGTCCTAGGCTCTGTGGTTTAACCTACAGCGCCACCCGTGTCCCTTTGCAGAAATTAAAAGGAGGCAAATGATGTGAGGTGGGCCCTAACTGGTAGATCCTCGAAACAGCCACATGAACACTGAGCATTAGGTCCTTGTATACTGTTTTATACATATTTTAGATATTTTTGTATCTTATTTGAATACTTAAATCCCACAAGCACCTTTGTAGGGTTTTTTTTTTTTGTCTTTTGTGGTTTCAGTTCTTTGAGCAACAACTTCCTGTTTTGTCTTTTTAATCACTTGTGAGTATGCTGTTGTGCGCACACATTATTTGACCATGCCTGCTACTCCATGTGCCTGTGAAACCTTTTGCCAACGACCTCTTTCGAACGCATGTTGCATGTATGCAGCAAATAGAATCATAAAACCACAGAACCGTAGTGCTGGAAGGGATCTCTGAGGATCACCTATCCCAGCCCTCTGCAATGAAGGAATCTTAACACGTGGACTCCCTTCCATTTGAAACCACACCCAGCGCAGCTTTCTCCCACGATCTCCGCACGCGATGAAAGAGAAAACACCACATGCTGGTTCACACGTGCATGCCCACCACCTGCGCAACGTCAGGTGGCGACTTGCCCATCTCAAACTTCGCAGCTAAGTCCTCCACATCACCACCAGCCACGCGCGTCTGTGCCGTTCTCAAGTGCCGTCCTTCTGCTTCCCCATTCCGGGGCCAACCTGGCCCAGTTGCAGAGCCCACGTGTGAACGACGCTTTGCAAAAAGAAAACAACGGACTGAACCGCACACGAGCGAGCAACGCAAAGCCACTGCGGACTAGAAGGAGAAGAAAGGGAAAGCGCCCAGCAACCTGGTTCTGGGATCCACCTGCTCCCAGTCCGTTGCGCGCGGGCTTGCAGGGTTGACCCGTCTTCTTCGCAAAGTTTTGCAAACTTTCCCCCCACCCCGCGAGCCTGAACTTGCGCGCGGTGTGATTGGCTGAGCGGCGGGCGCCAGGGTGTGCGTCTGTGTGCGAGTGCGCCTCCGTGTGCGGGCAGCGCGCCGCGAAGAGAGCCCCGCTGCCGGACTGCGCGCTTCTGCTGCCGACGTTGCGCCGCTGGGGCTGCGGATCCCGCGCAACTTGGGCTCGTGCTCGAGATCCACCGGCGGTGAGTGCGGCAACAGCGCCTGGGCGGGGAAGTCTTGGGTCTGGAGAGCGGGAAAGGGCCGCCGGGGAGCCCGGCGCGCGTCTCGCCCTCCTGCAACTCCAGCAGACTGTTGCATCAGACGCGCCGAGCGGGACGCCAGCATGCTGCGAGGAAAGCGGGCCAGGCCGAGACCCTCGCCCCGTTCCCCGCCTCCGATCTCCCGATCCCGTGGCGCCTCTTTGGAGAGGCCCCGATGGGCGCAAGAGCCCGAGCCGTCGGGCATTGCCGGAGTTGCGACGGGAGGGAAGGAAATCGCCCTTGGAACAAAACTCCCAAGTTTTGGGTGGGTCGGCGGGCGAGGATCAAGATGTGGCCAGAAGAGGGGTTAGTTGGGAGGAGGCGGGTCGTGGTGGGTGGCGGCGCGCATCGTGGGCAGGCCGGGTCCTCGTCGGTGGGCTTTTCTGGCAGCGCAGGGGTTAAACCGAGAGGACCCCCCCCCTTTGGAGGCCTCTGCAGGGAAGCGGCGGCTTGCAAGGAGGAGGGGAGACCAGCTCGTCAGGCTCTGCTCGCGTGTCGCTCCAGACCCGTGTGAAAGGGGTTTGTTGTGGTGCCCAGAGGCGCTGCCGTTGCCACGTGGGCTCCCAAAGGCGATGCAGGCGGACGGGGCCCCGGGAGGTGTCTCCGGGCCTGCGATCGGATTTCATCAGAGTTTAAAAGGGGGGGGGGATAATAATAATCCATGCAGAAACGAGGCGGTAGCAGCAGCACAAAAAAGTAATGTCGAGTACCCATTTGTGTGTGTTAACAAGCCAGGTGTCCTGGATTCAAATCTTGCACAGTTTGAGCAAAGGGACATGGAGGGGACTAGGAGTAGTGTGTGGGTCAGCGGGCAAGAACGACTGTTCCTGGGCAGCAGCATATATATATCTGTTTATTATTCACTTCTCTTGAGTGTAAAAAACCAAACGTCAATGCGGTTTTAAAACCACAACATCGCACTTATTGTCCTCAATTGCAAACTCCTGGTTGTACATCCTCCTGCAAAATGGATTAGAATTCCCGCTTTATGTATCGATCTGAAAGGCTAAAAAATTGGGGTACAATCAACCAACATTAATAAAGTCCTGTTGCAATGCAAAAGTGGCTAATTTTTTGCTGGATCATGTCCTGTAATCATTACTTCCTTACAGTGTGGCCCCATATTTAAAGATCGTAAACTGCAACCCAACACTCTGTTTAGGGAGTTTGAGCTGTTTTTGCTTCAGAGTAGTCCTGCTTTGTAGGGACGCGGGTGGCGCTGTGGGTAAAAGCCTCAGCGCCTAGGACTTGCCGATAAATAGGGACCGCTTACCAGCGGGAAGGTAAACGGCGTTCCGTGTGCTGCGCTGGCTCGCCAGATGCAGCTTTGTCACGCTGGCCACGTGACCCGGAAGTGTCTCCGGACAGCGCTGGCTCCCGGCCTCTTGAGTGAGATGAGCGCACAACCCTAGAGTCTGGCAAGACTGGCCCGTACGGGCAGGGGTACCTTTACCTTTTACTAGTCCTGCTTTGTTAGGATTTCGCTGTAAGGGTAGCTAGTCCTCATGAAGTGGCCCTGAGCTGTTTAGGATCTCCCTCAGTGGAGGGGGTGATCTTGTTGTGGAAGCTGAGAAGAGCAATTCCAAAGGATCTGGGGAAGCCTTTCACCTGTTCAAGGGGTTTCTTATTTATTTACAGATCAGATTTCTTATCCGCCCTCCACTATGAGGTCTCAGAAATGAGTTGCGACAATGCAGTGGTACCTCAGGTTACATACGCTTCAGGTTATACACTCCGCTAATCCAGATATAGTGCTTCAGGTTAAGAACTTTGCATCAGGATAAGAACAGAAATCGTGCTCTGGCAGTGAGGCAGCAGCAGGAGGCCCCATTAGCTAAAGTGGTGCTTCAGGTTAAGAACAGTTTCAGGTTAAGAACAGACCTCCAGAACGAATTAAATACTTAGCCTGAGGTACCACTGTATAATAATACAATATTAAAATCAATTTGCAACAGATTAGTAAACAGTTGAAACAATTTGCATCTGAAGAATAGGGTGGGGCCTAAAAAATAAAACTCATCTGTGAAAGGCCAAGGCAAAGAGATGCATCTTCAATAAATGTCGAATACTATACCACAGGGGTGCCCAAACCTTTTTCAAAGAGGGCCATGTTTGATGAAGTGAACATGCATGTTGAGCTTTCTTTTACAATTTCACCCCAGGACATATACTGCCACAGGGGCTGGATTAAATCGACCAGCGGGCTGGATTAGGTCTCCAAAACAGACTTTGAACATGCCTGCTATACCATGAAGGCAGCGGCGTAGCGTGGGTTGTCAGCACCCGGGGCAAGGCAAGTAATTTGCGCCCCCTAACCCGGGGCAAGGCAAGTAATTTGCGCCCCCTAACCCCTAACCTGCCGCCGCTGCCAGCTTCTTCTTGCTGCTGCCTGGGCTGGTCTGGTGTGGGTCTCTCCCGCGCTCAGCGCTGCGCTGGGCGGCCGCTGCACTGTCCCTCCCCCAGATAGTCCCTCGCTCTCTCTCCGCACCGCACGCCTGGCACCCACCCCCTCCACAGTGGGCGGCGACCCAGCGGCTCGGATTGGATTCGCACAGCCAGCACTGCAGTGAGAGAGAGTGAGTGAGCCAGGTAGGGGCAGAGAGCTGCGAGTGCGAGCGCGCCCCCCCAGATGTTGTGGCCGGCCCCCCTGCACCCCCCACGCTACGCCACTGCATGAAGGTGACAGATGCATCTCTGTGAGAAGTGAATCTCACAGTTTAGGGGGCGCTACTTGGTCCCTGCGGACGACTCTGGGGTTGCGGCGCTCATCTCGCTTTATTGGCCGAGGGAGCCGGCGTACAGCTTCCGGGTCATGTGGCCAGCATGACTAAGCCGCTTCTGGCGAACCAGAGCAGCGCACGGAAACGCCGTTTACCTTCCCGCCGGAGGGGGACCTATTTATCTACTTGCACTTTGACGTGCTTTCGAACTGCTAGGTTGGCAGAAGAAGGGACCGAGCAACGGGAGCTCACCCCGTTGCAGGGATTCGAACCACTGACCTTCCGATTGGCAAGCCCTAGGCTCTGTGGTTTAGACCTGCTATTTCTGGGGTGTGTGTGTGTGTGTGTGCCATTTCCTTTACTCTTGGACACAGGAACTTGCAGCACATGGACCAAATCCATCTGGTCACCTCCTCCAAGCCCTGAACCACTTCCCATTCAGATGGAACAGAGTGAGGGAGCTGGGTGCCAACTGCCTACTGATGGCACCTCATCCCAAATCTGATGACAGGTCCCAGTGGCTTCGGGCAGATGTTAAATAGCATGGGGGACGAGATGGAGCCTTTGGGGTGCCATAGGGCGGTTCCCAAGGTGCAGTACACCTTGCCTCCTCTCCTCCTCCCCCATAATTGTTTTCTGAAAAGGGCTTTGAAGGTAGGAGTGGAACCGCAGTGTGGCATCCACAACACCCACTTTCTAGTAGGATCTCATGGTCACACTTCCCCATCTCTCTCTGCAAATGCCATCAAGCAGAATGAACAAGGTATTTTCAGCGAAACTGGTCTGAAATGGGTCCGAACATACCTGAAACTGGGCTGCAACCACTGCTTTGAATAAGGTAAATGTAAACAAGAGTATGCCATGTTAGTTCTTGGATTCAGCCTCATTTACTTTTTATATGGTAAGGTAAAGGGACCCCTGACCATTAGGTCCAGTCATGACCGACTCTGGGGTTGTGGCGCTCATCTCGCTTTATTGGCCAAGGGAGCCGGCGTACAGAGCGGTGGACTTGTAATCTGGTGAACCGGGTTCGCTTCCCCGCTCCTCCACATGCAGCTGCTGGGTGACCTTGGGCTAGTCACACTTCTCTGAAGTCTCTCAGCCCCACTCACCTCACAGAGTGTTTGTTGTGGGGGAGGAAGGGAAAGGAGATTCTTAGCCGCTTTGAGACTCCTTAAGGACCCCTGACCATTAGGCCCAGTCATGGCCGACTATGGGGTTGCAGCGCTCATCTTGCTTTACTGGCCAAGGGAGCCGGTGTACAGCTGCCGGGTCATGTGGCCACCATGACTAAACCGCTTCTGGTGAGCCAGAGCAGCGCACGGAAACGCTGTTTACCTTCCCGCCGGAGTGGTACCTATTTATCTACTTGCACTTTGACGTCCTTTTGAACTGCTAGGTGGGCAGGAGCAGGGACCGAGCAACGGGAGCTCACCCCATTGCGGGGATTCGAACCGCTGACCTTCTGATTGGCAAGCCCTAGGCTCTGTGGTTTAACTCACAGCGCCACCCGAGTCCCTTACTGCTTTGAATACCTTGCCCCAAAAAGAGGATATTTGCCACTGGGTGACGGCTCCCACTACTCCAATGAAACATTCCTTGGATCCACCCAGTCCACCCCCGCCCCCCTTTAAGCTACCGAGTTGAGTGAAGATTGAGAGGGCAGGTGTTTGGCCTCTTAAACATTAGGATTGCTCTACTTGGCATGGATTAATTAACCCTTAATATCCTTCAAGCATTTTGTCATATGATCAGTAAAAGGGGTTGTTTCTGCCGCTTTTCAGAGCATAATTATGGGTAGAGGGTGACATTTTCCCAGTCTCTTAGACAGGCTAAAATGGCAGACTTCTGGGGAGGATGAAAAGGCAGCAAAATGTCATTTTTTAAAATTAATTGCATTTTGTATTTTCTGCTGCAAGTACCAAATATTTTGGGCTGCCGCAGACTTCCTTCTCTTTCTCTCCTGCTCTGCTTCCATCTCTGATTTGGGAAATGGGAACTGCCACAGTTCAAGTATTGCCTGGAGGAACTGCTGGTTCACACATGCACCTGTAATATATCTGCACACATCTCCACCCTTGGTGACTGGCTACTGAACGTGTGAACTGACTCCCATCGGAGACATCCTTGTGTCTGAAAAGATGCGAGGGGAAGCTAAGAGTTCTGCCTGTGGTTTCCAGTGTGATGGCTCATGCACTCGGTGCAAGACAACCCTAGATCATG